TTACCCCAGCCTCTCAGATAAGACCATCCTAGAGTCCGTGATAGCCAACCAACCACCATCCCTGTGAGTGAGCTTGAAGAACACCAGAAAAAACCAGCAAAGCCAAGCCCACATTGGCCAACCTGCCCACTCTTAAGTTACACATGTTCATTTTTGTATGCAGTGGGAGTTTTATAGTTGTTTGTTATGGAGTTATGGGAATATTCTGGCAATAGATCATCGATACACCCCATTAGGAGATCTTAGTCATTAAATTATCAAAAATAATAATAACTATTATTGTTATTTTATTTATTAATTCTAATAGGTTTATGTTAAACTTATTTATTATATTGTATTTTTGTTAATTATTATTATGCAATAATGATTATTGCAACAAAATATGCACTAAATTTTCAAAGATTGTCTCGTTTGGCAATCTCAAAAACCACTTTTCATCTTCATGTTTCACATTGCCCTGGGGCCTCAAAAGGGCTTTTATTTAAGAAAGGGCATATTTCGTTGATTCACTAGAAGGGGAGACGGCAGAAGTAGCTTCACCCAAGGTTACTCAACCAAGTTTGCTACCAAAAGAATTGGATTTAGCCATTCAGGCATTTCTTTTTCAGAACCACCTACAGGTTGCTGACCTCTCCCATTTCCCAAAATGAAAACCCTGGTTCCTGCCTATTCTTCTAGATCTACCTCAATTTTCATAAAAGGTCTGTGGGATGTCAGTTTGAATAATTACAATTGACATTTTGCTTGCAAGCAAAACAGAGGTCCTTTCCTCAGGAAACCACAATGACATGAATATCCTCTGAGTGCATATTGTCCTCCAAATAACCAGATTTGCTTTCCCTAAATTTGCATTTTCATTTGATCATTAAAGATGACTTTGTCTTTGTAACAGGAAACCTGTGATTCTCTTGACTAGTCTAGTTTGTCCTGTTGATTATCACAACAAGATCCTGGAGCTATTTACTCATTGAACATTCAGTTCCATGGGTTGCAAGTTATTTTTTGAAAGTCTGTCTCTAAGAAAGAGCCCTAACCCAGTCATCAGGGAGGGAATATGAAATGACAAAGTGGAAGTGGGGATTGGAGTGAAGGAACTCTGAAGTTCTTTTACAGGATCCATTTCAATAGATTAAGAAAGTATTGATTGCCCATTTTAAAGAATTGTGTGCATATATATTGAGGGGGAAGAGAAGGGAACACAAATACATTCAAAGTCACCCGTTGTACCACCAGTAAGACCTCCATTAATTAGACTTGATAATTTTTGAGTGAAAAACAACCCCTAAGTAACTTGCATCCCATTGATAATGGGGCTAGTAAGCAGTGACTTCACATAGCTCTCTAATATATTTAAATAATGTCATGCAATGGCTTAAGACTCAGAAAGAAGACAAATTTATTGGGTACCTTCTTTGTGCAGAGCAGAATGATGACTGTAGAGAGCTACAGATAAAGACCCAACCCCTGCCATCCATGAGCACTGCTTCTACAATCCTTTGATGTGTTCATCTCTGTGACCCCAGCGAGATGGGTTCAAAAATTTGGCTCTTTGATGATGACAATTTTAGTAGCACAATGGGGCTTTACTTACTCCTTATAAATTTCTCTCTGATTCTTTGGTAGTTTGGTTACCATTTTTGTCTTCTGATGCTTTTACTTTGAATTGTTTTGAAATTTGCATTTGGCACAAAGAAATTCAATAAAAAAATTCATTAAATGAATGTGGAAACAATAGTAGTTTTTAATTCCTAAAAATAATTGGTCAGTAGGTTTGACAGAATTCACAGGTAAGAAAGGTTTACAAAGTACTTAGAATAATCTGATCTGATATAGATTTTAAGGACATAAATACTCAGTTAAGGATCTTAGGTTGACTTGAATCAAAAATTGATTGATTGAAATTACATTTCTTCTCGTGCTTAAACTTGATTTGAGACTTAAATACCTGGATTCAAAGTATTTTATATTTTAGTGAAAATCTTTTGGATTCCATTAAAATATTAGATTAAATATGCTCACTCCAATCCCCTGCTTCACAAAATGGGTCTGCAAATCTATTTTAATGAATGTTTTACTAAGCCCTTTCTTGAGAAATGGTTAATAGTAAGTTTAAGATAATTATTTTAGTTAGAAAAATGAGACATTTCTGAATGCATTTAAAATAAGATTTATTTTATTAACATTATTTTTCATTGGCCTTGAAATCATGTAAATTATAGGGAAATGAAATTGTTTGAAAAAATCATTTTCCCCTGTTGATGCGCTTAAGTGTTTTTTTATATGTAACAAATCATATCTTTATGTGTTATTAAATTATTATTTTTAATAAATAAGATAAACTTGTGGCAAGAGAGCTCACTATTTAGCCATGCATTATTATTAAACTATTGCCAATATTTGTAATCAATGAATGATATACAGATGCTTAATTCATATTTGTTTAGGGTTAGTTTCTTTGTACTCTAAGTGGCTATAATTTGAAAAAAACATGAAGGATTTTAAAATAATATGTATCAAAATCTCCTGAATGTTGATATAATTCATCATCATGTATTCTAAAGCTGTCTTCTAATGTTGTGTTGATCAATGGGTTGAGAAATTATGTAGAATAATATTATAGTATTGTAGAGCTGGAAAGAACCCAACATAAAGATGTGGCAGGTATACATGATTAATACTTATTCAGCTGTTAAAAAAAAGATAAACTCCTGCCATTTTGACGACATGTATGGAACTTGCGGGAATTATACTAAGGGAAATAAGTCAGAGGGAGAAAATCAAATACTGGATGATTTCACTCATATGTGGAATACAGAGAAACAAAACACAAGAACTGAGAAAACTAAACTAAAACAAATCCTAGAGATATGACTGCAGAACTGAGACTACTAGAGGGGGATCATAGGGTATTAAGGGGAGAAAGGGTCCAATTTGCTTTGGGTAGAAGGATATGGATAATTATTTTAGTTAGAAAAATGGTGGGTGTGGTGAGGTGATGTACATCTGAGGAGGTATGAACCTGTTCCTCTGAACCATAAACTGCTGCAAACCAATGTTGCTTAAAAAAAAAAAAAAAGAATCCAACATAATCCATTTTATACAGGTGATGACTGGATTCATAAAGTTTAAGTGATTTGTTCACCCTTTAACCTTATAAACAAAGATATTTCAGCATGGTTGAGCCTGTAGACCACCAATTGGAATAACTTATACACGATTGTCCCAGGGAGTAGTTTACCAACCACCTATCCTCTTGCCAGCATATGATACAAAGGCAAAATATCAGGCTGCCAGGAGCGATGGGTGGGTAGCCTGGTTGGTGCTAAACTCTGATGTGTTCTCCATCATTCATGTAACACAAATGATGCCAAGAGCTCCCAGCAGAAGCCAACCCAATATGAAGGGGGTGACCGGAAGGGAATAAGAAGCCATGCCACATGGGATACATGCTTATTTTATTCTTGCAAATAATGATTTAGTGCTCTGAGATGAATATTTGTGTCCCTTAAAATTCAGATGTTGAATCCTAGCCCCCACTGTGATGATATTTGGAGGTGGGACCTTTGGAAGTTTATTAGGTCATGAGGGTGAAGCCTTCATGAATGGGATTAGTGTCCTTATAAAAGACATCCCCAAATCTCCCTCCCTCTTCTGCCACGTGAGGACATAGTTAGAAGAGGTTGCCTATTTCACCAAGAGCCAGGCTGTAGGGTGATGGCTACAGCCATCTGTGGCTATCACCTGTGGCCTTGAATGCAGGAGGTGCTTGGGAGCATGAGATCGGGTACGCATGTCTCATGGTGGACACCTGGGTATGGTGTGGGCATGTGTAATTGGGCACACCTGATCTGAGAGACTGAGGCCATAAGGGCAACGTCACACAGAGGACGGTATGCAGTGGAGAGCGGTGGAGAATGGCAGAGCACAGCTACGAGAGGAAGAGACTACAAGAGAACTCCAGAGAGCCCAGGGAGAATAAAGATTCATGGGGGGTTGGGAGGCCTTGCCAGCCGGTGGGCTTGCCCCACAAAAATTGGCAGAGAAGAGTGTTAAAACATGAAAAATCCACAGAGGGCTCCAGGACTCTCCTTTGCTTATCTCCTGAATGGATAGAGAAACTGCCTTGTGCTTGCTGGCACTGTACAGGAATGTGGGTGCGCACATACACACACACACACACACACACACACACACCTGCCAGTGCTTTCACTTTGGACTTCCAGACTCCAGAATTCTAAGAAATAAATGTTTGTATTGAAGTCACCCAGTCTAGGTATTTTTGTTTTGTTGTAGTGGTCCAAACAAACGAAGACACTTACAGCAGGTGATAGGTCCTCAGAATTCAAGGACTTCATAACCATGTGCTACCCAATACTAGAGTTACAGGTGACCCAGACAAGTCTAAAGCTTGTGGGCTTCATTACTGAGACGATGAAATCTGAGCTGCAAAGGGTCCCTGGCTCCTGATCAATTATGTAACACAATTATGTAACACATCACCTTCCCAAAATTGCCTTTCCAGGGGCTTGCAACTAGGAAAAATTCTTAAAGAAGTTCCTTATTGAAAATTAGCAAAAAGATATGTCTAGTTGAATCTGTTTCTTGGGTTTGAGGCAGCAAATGGAGGACAGCAGAAAGGATACAACCTTTGGCAGGAAACACACCTGGACTGGGCCTTAGCTCTACTACACGGCAGCTGCGTGGCTCATCTACAACATGGGAGTCATGATGCTGCCTTTGCAACACAGTTTTAAGAGTTAGATGTGGTATAGACAAGCTATACAACAGGTACTCAGTGAGTGATAATTATTATTAATTTTCCTCCATTCATTTGAAGGAGGGCAATAAGGGGCTGGTTGTTTCCATTCCTGAGCCCTTTTTAGAGGCCAGGCAAAAAGTGTATGAACTCTTTTTTTCGAATCATCACAGCAACCAAGGTATTATTGATATCACTTTTTTCTAAACAGGAAACTCGGACTCAGTAAAGTTAAATAACATACCAAGGCCATTCGGAAAGTAAGGTGCAGAGGCAGAGTTCACACCCAGGTCTTCTGGCTTTCCGCTGTCTCCTACGCACTCTATGTCCTCTGGACAATGGAGGCTGATTCCACTCCATAGATGGTCCTTCTTTCCACAGCTATTTAGGCTGAAGGAAAAGGCATGATTAACTCATAGAGATGATTAAAAATCCCAGGGCTAGCTCTTAAACTCATGCAAGGAGGAAAAGCTCCAAATTTCTCTGGTTTTAGTAAAGACCCTCAGGGAACAAGGTGAAACTAGCAGGCGGTGAGACAGTTGTTTGACTTTTAGCTTAAACAGTGGAAATTTTAGTGCTCTGTGTTTGTTTTAGAACATATTTTATAGCAGTTGCTGTTGAAATAATGGGAAGATAGAAATCTCTTTTAGCATGTGGAAGTACTTTTGTTTTTTCATTTTCATTTGAGTGGCAATGTTACGATTGGCTTCAGAAGATGAAGTTTATAAAGACATTTATGCTAACTTCCGATGTAAGCTGATTTCCTTCAGCTCAGCTGTAGTAAAATTTGGGTAAATACAATTTTACTCTATGCCTTCCACTAACAAGGTTGAAAGATGAATACATACAAGGCTGTGTTCCTTTCTGTTTAACAAAGCATTTCATGGGGATTCTACTCACTGTCTTGGGGTTTTCTTGGTCTTAAAAGGTGTTCTGATTTTGTTGGTTTACACTGGCTAGTGACTCCTTGTTACCTGGACTTGCACCTGGAGATGGTGGTTGGATGGCTAGTCTAAGGTTCTCCGTTCCAAGCCAGGCTCCTGCTAAAACTTGGGATATGCTTCCACAGTGATTTATAGAAATGCATGCCAATTTGTAACTTTACTTATTTATGCTTTTTAAAGTATCATTATACTTAAAAAGAAAAATTACAATTAGTTAATCCATTAACAAGTCTCTTAGGATCCTTTAAAGGGTAACTACCAAAAAGGAAGACTTGCGCACTGTTGGTGGAAATATAAGTTGGTGCAGCCTCTATGGAAAATAGTAAAGAGGTTTCTCAAAAAATTAAAAATAGATCTACCATGTGATCTGGCAATTACACTCCTAGGTGTCTATTCAAAGAACATATATCCAAAAAGATACATGTACCCCTAAATTCATTGCAGCTCTATTTGCAATAGCCAAGACAGGGAAACAACCTCAATTTCCATCAACAGATGATTGGATAAAAAAGATGAGGTATATATACACAGTGGAATGGTACTCAGCTACAAAAAAAAAAAAAAAAAGATAAAATCATGCTTTTTGAGATAACATGGGTGGCAGTGGAGGGGATGCTAAGTAGGAGAGACAAATACCAGATGATTTCACTCTTACATGGAAGAGCGAAAGAAACAAAGCAAAGAAACAGATTAAACATCAAAACAAATTGTGGGATTCTGACTGAAGAACTGAGGTCACTGGAGGAGAAGGGGGTGAGGGGGCCCAATGACTGGGAGCACAGGGTGAGGGTGCCCATTGACTGCACTGGAGGGTTGTTGGTACCTTGGTGGTAGAATGGTAGAGTAACATACATTTAAAAAGGTGTGAACCTGTACTACTAACACATTTACAGTAATGTAAATGCCATGCCAGTAATAAATACATGAATGAAGCTATAGGTACCATGACAAATACAGGAAATGTAATATTCTGGAATGCGCGGTATCTTCTTAGAGAAGAAAGCTCCAGTCTGGGGATGATGCTGCTGCTGCTGCTGCTGCTGCTGATGATGATGATGATGATGATGATGTGACAGTGACAATCATCATAATGGGATGGTGGTAATGTTCACGAGCAGTCATTGAGCATCTCTCACGGATCAGGATCAAGGAGCTCTCTGTTCCTGACCCACTCTTTCTGCCCTGCCCCTGTGCTCTTAACTACCACAGTGCTCTAGCCTGGTAGACACTGTAGGTAACTCCATTCATTGTCCCATTGTTAGGAAGTGACCGGGTCGTGAACACATTACCGCTGTGAGAAATGTACATTAATTTGCTGGCGGGTGTGGTGTGACGTACACAATTGCTGAGTTGAGAACCTGTACACTTGAAACCTATAGTGTTGTAAATGAATGTTACCTCAATAAAAAATAAAAGAAAATGGAAATTTAAATTTAATACCTTCATCTCTAAGCTTTATTCTCCTGGGGATTACTCATACTTATGAGGCAGCAAAGGTTAGTTGTAAGGATTAAGTAAGAGGTTTATGCAAAGTGCCAGGTGCAAGGAAGATGTTTCATAATTAATAATAGTTATTAATATTATTGCTATTATTAGACATAATTTAATTCTCTAAGAATAATCAGTAATGTGGAAGGGAATTTTAAGAAGAGTATGGTCAACAGTGGTAAACACCAGAGAAAAACCAAATTACTGAGAATAAGACTCGGGTGATACTGCTTAGTTGCCATAGTGTTGTCAGGAAAAGAACTCAGGGAGGTCTTGAGGCTGGGCGCAGCAGCTAATTGGAAACTCACACACATCTTCCCTGAGCATGCGATGTCCTAGACAAATCTAGTTTTTTAGTAATTTCACATTGGGACGGATGTTTCTAATTGTGATCCGAGCCTCATCTCCCTGGTCGTTAGGTGACAATGTTTCTGTCCCTGAGGAAGCCTCAGATCCATTGTTTTCTTCATCCGGATCTACCGAAGTTGCCGGCCACAGCTTTCATTCTACTCAAGAGTCTGATTATGTCCCCAAAGAAGCTATCCCCAACCTTAGCCTTGGAAAATTTACAGGTCATTAGAAAGCAGTGAAAAGTCATAGTCGACTCAAGGCTGCACTAAGAGCCGAGCTGGTGAGAATGGTCTCCTCTGTCACTTGCTTGACTGGACTTGTCATTAGCTTGGTTTTCTAGCTTGTTAACAGCAGATAGAGGCAATAAAATGCTGCCACCTTTTGCAGAGACAATCGTTAGAGCAAGCTTTACTACTTGTTTTGGTCTTTCTCAGTTTGGGATAAATTTAAATTCTGTAAACAAAATTTCGCTTCTCCTGAATGTTTCTGTTTTTATGTTTTTCCTGTTGATTGTTCTAAATCTGAGTAAGGGTGGCACTTGTCCTCAGACGTCCTCTTATTGAGACATCTCAATGAACCGTGATGAAAACATTTCAGAGGTGAATTTCATTAATTAATTAATGGGTTAATAATTATACAGAGTTTTAGGGCCTTCCCGGTGGTGCAGCAGGTTGAATGAAGTGCTGTGAAGCTGTCTGCAGGCTCTGCAGAGCAGGTTTGATTCCCGGCCATCCAGGGAGATCTCTACACGGTGTGGCAGACCACTCCTGTCACACCCGCTGCTCCCCTCAGCAGTGTTTTCGGTCCATCTGCCTGTTCTGCTCCCCACTCTGTCTCTAGTGAATCCTCTCACCCTCCCTCGCCTCTGGTCTGTACCCCAGTTCTTGTATAAATAAAATAATAAAAAAATCTTTAAAAAATAATTACATAGAGTTTTAAAAGATAGGTGTAGGGTAAATGGTTTTCAGGCTTTTCTGCAGTCTTTGGGATTGCCCTGCTTGCTGGGGAATCTGCACTTGTTACATTGTTGTAAGTCATGTTGTTTACTTCTGTGGGCCATGGCAGCAGTATTGAGATATCTGCCAAGAGAAGCAGAGGCAGGAGAGAGAAGCAGAGAAAGAACACCAGAGAAGCCCAGAGTGAAGACTTGCCTGGGGCTTGGAGGCCTGCTCGCCTCCTGTCCCCACCAGCACCGTGGCCTGCCATGTACCTTGTTGCTGCACTACGTGTGAAAGCTCAATAAAAGCCTGAGAAAGCCACGGAAGGCTCCAGGACTCCTTCTTTACCCAGTCTGCCGAATCATAGAGATCCTGCCCTGTGCCCCTCCTACCACTATGATAGGCAATACATTTATGGTCAAGTCTTCAAACAGGACAAAAGGGTAAATAGTGTAAAATACATGTTTTTTCCCAACTTCTCCTCCCATTTTTTTTTATAGCAAGTTAGTAGCATAACATAATCCAATCTGAACCAGATGAAATTTAAGTTTTGGTATTATGAAAAATGAACATTTCCTACTTTGTCAATGCTGTAAGTTTGCAACTATGAATATATTGAATTTACTCACAAGGATGTCAAGGTTTTGTACCCAATTCCAATGTGATAAAGGGGTTTCCCACACTACCAGGCAGCGATGCTCAAACATTGGCTGTGTGTCCCATAATACAACTCAGTTCTGACATGGAATCGTCCTTATATTTTTAGACTTCAAAGTTTTTCTCCAGTAGAGTTAACAGAGCTACACATTAGGAATGAATTCATACTGGAAACAACCAGAACCAGGAATTAATCACTATGAATTAATTCATAATATAATGAATCATTTTGATTTCAAAGATTATTTGTCATACACAATAAATAAGCATTTCAGTCTCTTTTTGTCAGATCAGTTAGTTTATCCAATTTTTCTCCACTCTTCTAACTTTGTGCTTTGTTCTCACCCTATTTAATTTCTCAATTTACTTAAAATAATATACCATTCAATTTATACATAATAACTGAATTATTCTGGGAGAATCTACCTCTCTGGCAATATGTAATTCCCATCATTTTTTTGTATAAGGATCAATTTAAGTTTCTTGAGGCCAGGATTTGTGTCTTACATAATATTTGTAACCCCTAAAGTGCTCTGCATTAAGTACAACTGAGTGGCTAGGTGAACAAATGATGGAGCCAGGATGGACAAGTGGATGGATGAGGATACTGTGAAATTTGAATTTCACATATGAAATAAAAGGTTCAAACAATTAAGAAAATGGAGGAACATGACATTCCTCAAAGATAATCATAAAAGATTAAAGCAGCAGCTGAGCAATAATGTATGTAGATTCCCTAGAAAAATGAAGACTATAGCAAACCATTAAAAGTTTCCAATACTTCCTTTTTTAAGTTAGAAAACGAAAACCATATATTACTTCCAAAGTTTTCAGTTATGAAAATTAGTCTACCTTTCAAACATGTTTGGAATATATGAGTTGTCCACCTGCCTCCTTTGCTATTTATTGAGAAGGATTATGCTCGGGATCATTAGAAAAGTAATTTTCTCTTGATTTTTCAAGAAAATCCAAGATGTGACCTGCACATTGATAACAGAGAATTTAGTCTGCTGGCAAGGGCTGAATTGGATTTGGGTTATATTTTATAAGCAGAGTTGCTGTACTTTTTTCTTTTTTTCAAGGACAAATTCGAATATCTTCTTTCTTCCTGTCCATGACTTACTCTGATGGGAAACAGAAGTAATTTTAGGTAGCAAAAAATTGGGTTGACAAATATTTTTTAAAAAATGACCCATGAGATCAAAGTATCAAATTCAACTCTAAAACCCCCCCTTTTTTTTTAACCTGGAAGTGCAAAATAAATCTCCTAATCTTGTCATCAAAAATACCACCTGAGAGAAATTGTGTAGTTATGCAAATCAGATGCTGTAAATTAAGTTACTTTATTTAAAATGACCCATCTTTACTGGAATTTAATCACTTGAACCCTGGCACTATTTAAACACCAGACAGCAAGATCCCATAGTACAAACTGTCAATCACAAAGCTCATTGCTTCTATTAATGTTTCCTGAATGGTGCTTTGCCCTGAAGTAGTGATAATACATTTCAATTATTTAATACAAATGATGGCTTTATTTGTTAAGTGAATTTGAGAGTGAAGAAGGAAATTATTATGAACTATACATTGTCACATAAATTTCTATTTTGACAAACACTGGACTCTTCGGGAATCAAAGGTGATATGAATGTTTTCTTAACTTTGTAAGTTTTTTTAATTAAATACATTTATTTAAATATATAACATCGATATATAACATATATAATATATATAAATATATAACAACGATATAACATCGTTGTTCGTTTTTGTATAATGTTTGATTTTTCCTCTTGGGTGTTATTCCTATAAAATTCCCACCACCAAGATACCTGTGAATGGTCACCATAGTCTCTTGTGCTTTTCCCTTTCCCGTTTTGATCCTTCCCCCTCTCTTCCCCCTGGCTGTTTGTCTCTGATTTCTACTTTACCTGCTAGTTTTGTCTCTCTCTCTTTTTTCCTTTCCCACCCTGTGTTTGGTTTCCCTATATTCCTCCTGTAAGTGAAATCATCCGATATTTTTCTTTTTCCTTCTGACTTATTTTACTGAGCATAATCCCTTCCAGCTCTATCCATGTTGCTGCAAATGTTGTGGCATGAGTTTAACTTCATAATTTGCAAAGCAAAAGTTTTTGCCCAGAAGATACTCTTTTTGCAATGACTCCCAAAGTAGATGTAAAATTATCACAAAGGAAACGAAAATGCAATAATATTGAAGCTTTTTCTTCTGAACTATTTGATATGATGCAAAGAAAATAACTGCACCCTGGAGATTTTTTAAAATCTGCATATTAATGAAAAACCAGAAGGGAATTTGCAAACATGAAAGTGGTCAGCCTGGGCCAGTAGGATTTATGGATGGGTTTTTTCTCTTTTATTCCCCTCAATTTTATGAATGGTTGTAATAAACAGAAAATGACTCAATTGTGCTTTTAGGTCCATGGCTTGACTGACTGAGTCAGAATGCGCTGAGCGTCTGTTTCTCCCCAGGAATGGCCTGCTGTTGGCAGAAACTGTTTCTGAGTTTTTATTAAGACCTGAAGAAAAAGAAGGAACGTGTGTGTGTGTGTGTGTGTGTGTGTGTGTGTTTAGTTCTTTCTTATAATGTCCTTTTTTGTTGAGTGAAAGCAGATAATGTCTTTGTACACATTCTCTCTCTCCTCTGATGCCTACTCTCTAGAAGATGCCCTGCTTACAAGTCCTTACATCTTTCTATTTTGTTAGTGTCTGTATATTTGAAAAAACAATGTTATATTCTGCAGAAATACACATGATT